TAGTTAACAAATATATAGCATAAGCAAATCCAGTACACTAGTGAGACATCTGTATAGACTCTCTCCCTTTCTCCAGAGAAGATCAAAGAAGTCAGTCTGTTTGTCCACTCCTTGTTCAAAGCTGAAGTCGTTGGCTGTACTTTCTTAAAGCTGTCTTCAGTCTGCATGTACTTGAAGAAATCCCTTCAGTTCATTTTTTCTAGATGATATATGAAAGTCAAACACTGTACTAATTTTGGTATGGGTGCTTTTCAGACTGAAACCATGTAACAGGATTATATTTTATTGACTTTTTCTGATGTTCTCCTTCTAAGTTAATTCACTTTAGGCTAACAAATCAATATATTTTAAAATGAAAACTTGATTTAAATGGTTAATGAATAGAACATTTTGTTTAAATATGTTTTCCTGTTCACATTTTATAGATGAACTTTGTGTAACTTTGAAGCAAGACAGAAGCTGTTGTAATCCATTTTCTGTCTATCATAGTTCCAACAGAGGCATGAAATTATTTAGTTTGTTATCTTTCGCATTGTCTAGAGTCTAGATATTCAGACTAAAATATTTCCTACATTTCTTTTTACATCAAAACATGTTCTTATTATTTCTATCCTTAGGTGGATAGAATAGCCTCCTACTTAAAAAAAAGAATGGAAAATCCTTCTGAGTAGTTAGAATAATTAACCAGTGGAGCAACCTGCCTCCAGAAGTTGTGAATGCTCCAACACTGAAAGTTTTTAAGAAGAGATTGGACAACCATTTGTCTGAAATGGTATAGGGTTTCCTGCCTGAGCAGGGGGTTGGACTAGATGACCTCCAAGGTCCCTTCCAACTCTATTATTATTACTATTATTATTATTATTTAACACAAAATCACAAACTAAAGCAAGAGCTACAACTAACCATTTAGACTTTCATATAATACCTCATTTTACCACATTTATTGATATTGGAAAGTTTATATAAAGATTAGAACTTTAATTGCTGTTTATCGTTTTAAATATTTGGGAATAGTTTTCCCAATGAAACTTTTTCTTTAAAAGTTTTTATAAAAATCAGTATAAAGAGATGAATAAGTTCCATTGAGGTTATGGAAAAATAATAATTTAATAAAAATAATACTTTAGAATGGCTATATTTAATTAGAGAAATTGCTATGTTAATATTTTGTAACTTTTCTAGCAATTTGTTATGATATTAAGTTTATTTAATAGGAGAACAAATTCCTTTATTTTCTCAATCTTTATGTATTCAAAAATATAAGATATTTCTTGATTTTGCAAATGGGAATGTCAACAATTTTTCATCTCTAGACAAAAATAAACCCGACAGCAATCCATTCTGTCTAGTAGCAGTCAACCAATTTTCAGAAAAACAGCCAAAAATATTTTAAAACCTTTGTAATGCCCATTAAAAAACAATAGTGCCAATTGCTTCTTGTATAGTCAGACAGGTATTATTGATCTTGGAGAGATACAAATTGAAAGGAATATGTCCTTTTTTAAAAAGAATACGCTAATCTTACATATTTCCTTTCAGTTATTTCCAGAACAGGTACTGTAGAAAAAGAATCACATCAGTCTACCAACATAAATGGAGATGTATTCAAAAATATTTTAAACTTCTGTTTCCTTCTTTTAATGTGCATTGCCCAAATATTCCCAATAGTCAGAAATATGACTGTATTTACTTTGTAAAAATTCATGTAGTTTTTGTTTTTTCATGGCCAAACTGCAAAACCACCCAAAAGAAAAATCTATAGCTTCTGTTTGTTGAAATGTTAAAATAAAAAAAGAGGTGGCAATAAGTATTATTGCCCAGTAGAAAGAACCTATTAGGGAAAGGCCAAAGATTTCCTTTCTGGCTAAAAGAAAAAAGAAGAATATGGATCCTGCAGAAAAAAGGAAGGAAGGAAAGAAAGAAGATCAACAATTAATTCAAATGAGGAGTGGGGTTTTTTGGCAAAATTAATATTGAATTGTATCAGTAGCCCACAAAATAATGAAAGGTAAATGCATATGTACATACATATTCAAATAGATGCAACCTCAAACTCAATAAACCAGTCCATATTAAGTAATATGCTGCCCTTTCCTATTGAAAACTACTTCACAGAACTTCATTCCAGAGCATGATTATCACTAAAATTTGAATAAGTGAACCAGACACTATATAAAAAGTTAGTTTTTGCAAACCCATATGGAATTAAGAGATTCACAGAATTTTTTTTTTTCTCACAAGTTAATTTTGGAAATGCTAATTTATTTCCAAGAAGTTAAGAAACAGTAACTGGCAAAAGATCAATGGTTTTAAACGTGCAGGTTAATGAAGAAAATTTTACATATCCCCTGTTAAATACTTTGCTTTAGAATGATCTGAAAATAATCTTCCAGCTAGGACTGACTGCTTTTGTTGAATCGGTTTTTCCAGTTGAATAACCTGCAGCAGAAAATAAAATAATCAGCAACTAAAGCTAATTGGAAGAAATGTACTTCAAAATATATTTTTGTTCAATATGCTGCTCAAACCAAAGATTAAGAGGAAAATTAGCTTGTATACAAACAGATGTATACCAATGTCCATTTGATTTCTCCTGATTTGGTCTGCTTCCAGCTGAGAAATGCAAGACACTTTTTAGAGCTTTTTCTCTAGCAATCTTATCCAGCAAGAGCATCACTAAGGCACTGCTTGGGGACTAGAAGTGATAGCAAGCTGAGCCATCATGACATTTTATCTGGCATATTTTTCTGAAGTCCTGTGAGCCAGTCTCATCCTAGTATAACCACTTCAGTAAGTTATTCATTTACTCAGAATGATAAGATGTTATCGTAAGAACAGTACTTACCCCTTGCCATGAGCAGTTGCTTAGGAGTAAGCAGAAAGAAGACTGCATTCACTCAGAGATAGGCTGAGATAAGACAGCTATTTATTTAATGGGAGGTTGGGAATATCTAGCAAAATGAGTTTCATTTTAAACAAAATTAAATATTCTACCAAAGCAGCAGTGAATAATGGATTATTAGCGTATTTCATGCATTTAGAAACGTTTTCTGGGTCAGGATGCTGGTTGGTATACAGAGGTTGGTATTGGTTGTCAGATTTACCCTCTTATTTTGCCTGGTAATGCTGAAGAAAGCATATTTTGCGGGTAATCCTTGAGTTACGAATGTAATGGAGCTTGCCCATTCCATTTGTAGGAGTGAATCACGTACCTTAAACACAATCACTCCGTGCTTTCGCCCATGCATTCACTAATCAGAATAATACTGTGGAATAACACTAGTGTTCTGCATTAGATGGCAATGCAATTTAAGCAGGCATGGAATTCTATATTTGAAAAGGGGATATTGGTTAATGATCAGAATTGCATTATTGAACATATGCTATTTCTCCAAGTCTTCACTCACAACCCCTCCTCCCTTGTTTCCTTTCTTAGTTAGTAATTTGACACTCTGTTCTGGTCTGTTCTAAGTAATATCATCACAGGCTTCGTGGGAAAATTTTGCTTTTAGCATTTATTCTTCTGTATATTTACTATATTTAATATAACAAATTTCATCTGTATCTAAATATATTTCTTATTTTCAGTTATTTCTCTGAAAAAGCTATCAATAATTGTGACAACATCTTCAGGAACAATAAATATATATTTTTAAAATAACGTTTTTGTCTACATTGGAAAGTTATAGTTCGCCAAATTCAGTGAAGTAAACCTATATTGTATGAATGTTTTGTTATCTACTCTAATTCAAAACTGGTTTTACAGTATATGAAAACACCTCCTATTGTTCCCACTAGCACTTGAGACTGTTTAATTAAATAAAACACATAAAAAACAAGAGAGTAAAAAGAGAGAGCAAACAGAATAAAAGAAGCACATCTGCACAATCTAAAGAAATATTTTCATATGTACCATATTTTCCGGCGTATAAGACAACTTTCTAGGCACGCAATTCGGCGCCGAAGTCTGGGGTCATCTTATACTCCGAGTCGTCCTATATGCCGGAAAATACGGTAGCATAATATTGAAGATAAAGAACAATTTTACAAATGAAAGGCTTTGTCTTTATTAAACTTCTACTCTGAACATGCAATATTTGTGTATCTATTACACATAAGAATGATCATCTCATAGAATGTTCTGCTTTGTGATTACAGAATAACAGTTATTTGTGCTATGTTCTTTTTGATTGCTGAAGTGTGTTATTCTTGCACTATTCTACACAATATATGTTTAATAATAACAACAATAATAATAATAATAATAATAAGTAGTAGTAGTATAGTAGTAGTAGTAGTAGTAGTAGTAGTAGTAGTAGTAGTAGTTGGAAGAGACCTTGGAGGTTGTCTAGTCCAACCCCCTGCTCAGGCAGGAAACCCTATACTATTTCAGACAAATGGCTGTCCAGTCTCTTAAAAGATTCCAGTATTGGAGCATTCACGGCTTCTGGAATGTAGATATGTGTAGATAAACTAAACGTGAATTCTTTTTTGTCTAGATAAATACATTAAATTGAAGGTGAAGCTTTCTTAATATACAAATGTTTACTGTTATATGTTTTGTAGTGTTAAACAGGGCTTACAATTTTTACTATTTGCTTTACTTACCTGTTTATATAAGAATTAGTCTCTGTGTTTGTGTCTATGTGTATAAATTTGTTTACAAAAATATAATCTTTATAAAAAATATAGTTAATATTTTGCCTAACAAAATTAAACATAGGTAAATAGTTAATAAAAATAAATAAACATTTAGATGAATAGTTAACAAAACAAAATACAGTGCATCTTATTCTTCATTAAAGGTGGAAGTTGTAGGATTTGAGTTTGAAAGTGTTTAAGTACAATTTTTTAATCTGTTATTTTTTCTTTAGTAATTCCTTCAAATCTTTAACATTAACTAAATGATTTGATTAGTACGTAGCTTAGTTGAAACTGGTCTAAATATTTTAACAACTTATTGAAAAAAATGAATAAAAGCTAATACTTTATATTTTCAGGTAAATTAGGATTTACACAGGAAAATAACACTATAGATTCTGGAGAACTTGATATAGGTCGAAGAGCAACACAAGATGTGCCTCCTGGGATCTTCTGGCGGTCACAAGTCTTTATTGATCAACCACAGTTTCTAAAATTCAATATCTCCCTTCAGAAAGATGCTTTGATTGGAGTATATGGCCGAAAAGGTTTACCACCTTCACATACACAAGTAAGAGTTGTTTTTAATGAAAGTAATATTTAGAACCACACACATCTTTAGAAATGGTTATTATTTTGGATTTCAAAATGTTATAGTTTTTTTATTGCCTTCATATATTGTGCCAAGGTCATAATATTGGCCCTTCTGAACTGTAATTTTACAGCATGTACTTATGTTTCTAAAAATATAATTCAGAATACCCAAACGTGAGCTCACACACACACACAAATATACACTTCCCTGATTCATAGAAAAATAATGTACATTTTTTCAGAAATAAGATAAAATAGATGATATAAATGCTACATTTTAATGATACTTTGATATGAAATAAACTTGATTAAGTACAGAATTGTTTCTTTTTTAAAATAAGTATTTTAACAAAAAGCGTTACAGTTATTTCTTAGTAAAAATCAAAAGAACTTGAGATCACATTACAATTTTTAGAAATAACATGTTTATCCACTTCATCCTTCAAAAACCTTTATGATTGGCATTTACTTTATTTTCCTTTTCCTTTTGCTATATTGCTGTAAGAAGTGATATGTTGCAGCATTTGTGTGTGTGTGTTTGTACCATTATTCCCAAATGTAGCTGAATTTTATGTGTGTTTCAGAACAATCTTAGTTGCACAGCTCTTATTTTCTCAGAGATCACAAATAAGTCAGCCTGAAGTAATTGATACTGGCTGATCATTCAAAAATAGTCTGTGATAGTTTCAAGTTGATATGACACATTCTCAGAATGTTGGTTTTACTGCAACAAGGCAGTCAATATGTTTAAAGAAACTACAAAATAATAGATGACTTTGGTACTTTGAAACAAAATGAATGAACTCTGAGAGTACTTGTCTAAATCTAACGCATATAAGGAATTTGTAAAAATTATAATTTGCTGCAACTATCAGCCAGCAACACTAACTCTGCAACAAAAAATTCCAAATTTTATTTTAATAAAAGATAATTCAAATGCTCATTGAATGCTTATAACTTAATTCATGTTATTTCCAGTGTTGCTGTCAAGATCTGGAAGAAAATTATGATGATGAAATAAGGCAGATGAAAAACAGAAAACAAAAAAATATGTTGATATAGAATTTAGCAATGTATGCTACTCACTGTTACTTTAAAAAAAAATTTAAATAGCTCTGTGGCTGCTGGGTCAACAGGATTGCTGTTGTTTTAGTACTCATTGATCAGGCTTGTGCTACTTTACAATCACATCTAAAAAGAAATAAAACAATTTATAAACAAATCCTGTGAACAATCTGCCTTAGTCAATCATTCATTGAGTATTGAGATATAATGGTTATCATTACAAAATTTCTCCTCTAATGTCTGCTGCCTTCTTTTCACTTAAAAAACTGAGCTATACATATTATACTGGCAAAAAAGCAATGAGGAAACCCAGCAGTGACACTGATGTAGTCAACTAAACTAATAAACTAACATCCAAACTAAACAATAGGAATCTTACTTTTGACAAACTGGGATGTGAAAGGAGTAAGTAGACTGAGAAAGAATCTTTCTGTACAGAAAACCATAAGAAAAACTACTCAAAGAAATAACTGTTTTTAAGCAAGGTAGTTGGCTTTAAAAGCTGCAGTCCCTGACTAATGAGTTCTAGTGGTTAGTGAACTTATAATCCTTTTCTCTCTGATATCAGCAAAATGATAAATGATGGCTAATACCTTCCCTGATGCGTTGAAGACTTCTGCTTCAGTCATGGCAGGTGCATAATAAGCTGCAGCTTGTGGCCAGTTCTGAATAGGGAGCAAAATCTCAGGATACTATTTGAGTGAGAGCAAGCAATCTTTCCCTTGATGAACATCCATTGAGCTATCAGCAAAACGTAACTCCTCTTTAAAGACAATTTATTTTCTATCACTCGGATACTCATGTGAAAAACATAGATTAAAATTACCTACCATATTAACAGTATTTGAAACAAACATTTTAATGCTATTTAAAGGTACGTTCTAGTCCTTCATATATTCCTTTCTTTTTTTATTGTTTGTCTTTTTAGCACTGTTGCTCGTCGATCAGATTTGTGTGCCACAAAATAGGTGGCCATATAAATTTCATGCATAAATAAATACCCTTTCCATAAAAAGTATAAATTTGGCTAGTGACCTTCACTTACCTGGGTAGAAGCAAGACCCAAGTATACAGTATTTGGAAGGGAAACATCTTTCTAAAATACAGGTCTAAAATCATTTAAGATTTTACAGATTAAAATTAATTTCCTCTTATGAAATAATTATAGGGTCCAAATTTCAATGACATATCCTTCTTTTCCTTGAAACATGATCAGACATGGAGACAAAAAAATAAAATTACAAAAATGCATACTGTTAATAAGCAGAGTGCCAGACATATCCTGAAAATGAAAGAACAATGTCTCTGAATTTGTCCTTTTAAATAAAACTTTATTCTTAATATTCCAAGCTTTGTTTTTATTTTCAATCACATAATTTAGGTCAACATAACCTACTTGCTATGTATCATGTATAAATGTACAACATATATAAAATTTATAAATGTATCCAGACAATGCTAATGAACTATGCTCTTCCTGCTCATCCCTGAATTCTATGCATTATATTATTACATTTTATTACATTTTTTCACACTGCAGACAAGTGTAAAAAATAGCTTTTTCCGGGCACTGTAATACAATTTCATACTCTTAGGCTTTGAAAGGCTTCACCTCTTTTTTTCACAATTTGAAGAAATATATGAATAATTAACAAAGAAACTTTGTTTAATTTTCTGTAATACTTTTGGAAGAGTTGATGTTGCAGTAAACCTTTCATAACCAATTTGTTTCTTTAAAAAAACAGGTGCTTCTGATAGCAGTATGGTATTTAAACTGACATAACAACTTTCTTATTTATATTTTTTCTTGTGATTTTAAGACAGAAATATACAATCACTATGCTTTTGACAATGGATTGTTCAAACTATTATTCACAGCATCCATGTATTCCCTATTTTTATGTTCTTAGTTGTGTCCAAATATTAAGATTGTTGTTTATCTTTAGCAAAATATAAATCAATATAAGCCTTGAATATATGCTTTTTTAAAGAATTCCTCCAGGTTATTTTGAAAGATCCTACTTGAATTGTGTGTTACATATTTTGTCAATAGTTAAAGCAAAAACAAATGTCTCATTTATACATATTTTTAAAATGATATACATATTACTGAGAAAAATATAACTATAGTTTTAAAAATTAATTCCATAATGCATCAATACATAAGGTAGCATGTGATTCATTTTTTCCCCTTGCAGTATGATTTTGTAGAACTTTTGGATGGAAGCCGATTGATTGCAAAGGAGCAGCGTAATCTTCTTGAGACAGAGAGAGCAGGTAGACAAACAAGATCTGTTAGCCTTCATGAAGCAGGGTTCATTCAGTATTTGGATGCTGGGATCTGGCATCTGGCTTTTTACAACGATGGAAAAAATGCAGAGCAAGTGTCTTTTAATACGATTGTTATAGGTAAGTAGAGTATTCACAATAAATCTTTTAGAGTTGATATTTTGAATATCTCAAAACTTCTAAGCTTCAAACTTTTTAACATAACCTTTCTAACTATACATAATTACTAAACAAGAAATGGAATTCTGTTAATTACAGACACAAGATATGAAATATAATTTAAAAAATGACATATAAAGCTTGTAAAATTTTATTCAAATATGTTAGATTTTTATTTAACTATTTTTATTTATTCTCTTGAAGGCATACATTAGATATATGATTTCTAAGGGTATGTTAATCTACTGACATTTGCAGATTATATAAAGAGGGGGTTTTGCTGCTTTATTTCAATGCATTGGTTGCTGCCTGTTAGAATTTTCTTCTTTTGGTAACTTTCAGAGTCTGTAGTTGAATGCCCTCGAAATTGCCATGGAAACGGAGAATGTGTTTCAGGATCATGCCATTGTTTTGCTGGCTTTCTTGGCCCCGATTGTTCAAGAGGTATATAAACAGAATTCTTTCTTAAATAAGTTCAAATAAGAAGCAGAAAAAACAAGTACTTACTAAGAAGTAAGAAAAAAGATTTTGAAGTACAACTTGTCAAGATGTACCTCTGCCTCTAAAGCTTGATTGAAAAGAATTATGTTAAGTTTTCTGTCATGTTTTATTTCACAGCAGCCTGCCCAGTATTGTGTAGTGGCAATGGGCAGTACTCCAAAGGACGTTGTTTATGCTATAGTGGTTGGAAGGGTACGGAGTGTGATGTGCCTACCACCCAGTGCATTGACCCTCAATGTGGAGGTCGTGGGATTTGTATTATGGGCTCTTGTGCCTGCAACTCTGGATACAAAGGAGAAAACTGTGAAGAAGGTAAATAAGCAAATATTGACTTAGAATTGAACTATTATGCTACACACTATATTCTACTAAAGCATAGAATTGATGTTAAAGCATGTTAAATACAGAACTTAGAATATATTTCTAGAACAGTGAACTTTAATTGCTTTATTGATCTATAAGTGTAAGTTAATCTGTTTTAAGAGCACTGAAAGTAGAAAAAAACTAAATTCTTGATAAAATACAGATTTTTTAAAAATATATTTTTTAATCTTCTCTGTTAATTGAACAACTGAAATGACTGATTTAAAAGTATTAACACTACAGTTGTATAATAATTGATGTACAATTGAATAATTACAAAACTCTTTCTACTGGAGAAAAAAAGTGTGGTCATTTTTACTGGATTTGTTTGGACAGAGAAAGCACAACTTTCCACTCTCAATCAAATTGATTTTATTGATCAGCACACACAAAGTAATACAATTAAGTCTCTGGAATTAAATTTTCAGACCATTGACCCTACAAGTGTAACGTTTTATTGAGTCAAATTGCTAAATTAAATCCCATCATCTAAAGCACATTAAAGGGAATTAAGAAAGATAGAGCTGTGCAACTCATTTATTTCCTAAATAGGCTGCAGGTCAACCTGTAGCCTGCATGCTTTTTGGGATCGGACAAGTACATTTCTAGGTTGGGTTAATTTCTCTTGTGTTTTTGCATTTTTTTCTTTTTTTTTTCTTTTTTCTTTTTGTTTGCCTACATATAGCCAAATTCTCCCTAACATCAGCAAAGAAGTATTGTGATACTTGGAAAAGGAAAGCAACAACTTTGTCCTTCCTCCATTCCATGGAGAGTATTAATTTACACAGCAGACAAAATAAATATCTAACAGACTATTAGTTATAAACAGTATAAATTAAATGACTCATTGTTCTATTAATATTCAAAGATGCTTAAAGGATAAGAAATGAATAAGAGGGTATTAAAAATAGTATGCCACAACTGGGATCTAAAAGTAAAGTCTGCTGTGTCTAAAACTGAAAATTAATCTTGTTAGAAAGCTAAAGAAAAGTATAAATGGAAGGTATATCAGGAATTAATTCAGCAATTGAGAATTGTAGAAAGTAAGATTTTCTGATTATTTGGTAGATTATGAGTCAGTGCAGATTCCTGTCCAGAATCTTCTGAGGTTCATAGAATGAAACTGTGTAACTAAGTGCAGCTTCCACTTTTTGGTTCATTCCAAAATGTCACAGCATTAGCACTCAACTGATAGTATTTTCTATTTTTATATATTATAATGTATTTAACTTGTCTATAACAGGAATCCATATATTTCCTTTGGCTGGAAAATTACTTATTGGGACATATCACAAGTTATCTAGTTTTCAGCATAATAGCCTTTAAAGTCCCCTGTTCTTTAAATTCAGAATCAACATTGCAAAAACAAGGTTCTCTTCTTTGAGGGTATCAAGCTCGTCAAGCAAACTCAGCAAAAAAGAGCCACTTAAATTTCCAGAAATATATTTATTGCTAGTATGGATTTATAACAGAACTTGAAAGCTGATCAAAGTAGTTCTCTACTTCAGCCTATATCTAGTATAATTAAGACAGAGTAAATTAGTCCTTTCTCACATTTTCCCCTCTCAGGAATCCTTTCCGTAAATGTCAGGGTCCTTTCTCCTTGTTCCCAGAGTCTGTTAGATATTTTATGAAAGGTGGACATTGTCTTCTCTGCTGCTGGACTCAGAAAATTGCCCAGTATGGGCTCATAACATCCTAAATTATATATGCTGCCTAATCCCAAGCAGTGAAAAAGGAACTGAGTATGTTAAACACTGTGATTCACTCTGCTTCAGAGCCTTGCCATATTTGTCATTTCAGATATTGCAGTTACAGCATGTAAATTTATCACTCAGTAACATGCAGTCTTAAGGCTGATTTAGGGTTGCCCACAACTACCTGTAGCCATTGCCACATGCCTATGCTGAAAAGGGGTTGATGAGTAAGTGGAGGTTGCAGAGGTTAGGGCAAGATGTTCCAGATGGCAGGAGCAACAGCAAAGAAGACACTCTTCCTGGCCCCCACCAGCCAGACTAATCAGGTTGACAGGACCTGCAGCATGCCTTCTCTGCTGGCAGGAGTGATACAGGCTAATACCACTGGGGTGAGATGGACCCTCAAGTAATCTGGACCCATGCCATGAAGGCCTTTAACTGAATTGCACCCAAAAGCAGTGCACCTGATAACCAATGCAGCTTGTAGAGCAGTGGTATTACAGGGGCCATTCTTGGGGCCACCAAAACTACCCGTGCTGCCACACTCTGTACCAGCAGTAGCTTCCAAATGCTCTTCAAGGGTAGACCCATGTAGAGTACATTACAATAGTCAGGTCATGAGATGACTAGGAACTGAACAACTGAGCACAGGGAATCCTGATTGAGGAAGGGCTGCAATTGATACACAACACAAAGTTGTGCAAAGGCTTTCCTAGCTGTGTCTACCTGTTCCTCAAACAGGAGTTAGAAGTCCAGGAGAACCCCCAAGTTGCAGACTGGGTCTTTCTTGGGCAGTGCCACCCTATCCAGAGTCAAAGATGACAAAATCCCGGATCCTGGAGGCCCATGTACCCAAAGCCATTCGGCCTTATCAGGATTCAGTCAAAGCCTGTTGTCCCACATCCACGCCACCACAGCCTCCAGGCACTGCGAGACAACAGCCATAGCATGACTTATATGTAGTTTATCAACAGTTCTGTACTCAAACAATTCTTTTTTATTTCCTATATAGTTGAGTTATGTGTTTTTCATTATTTTTAATTTGATGTAGATAATATTTGCTTAGTTTATATATATTTTCCTCTGATTAGCAAATAAAATACAAAAAGTAAAGATTTTTGCAGATTCATTTCTAAAACATTTCAGACAGAGCCTGCTGGGATGCATAACTAATTTTGGTTAACTCAGAACTGTAGGAATGTAGTGGTAAGCAAGAAACTACATTTTTTAAAAAATGGCTGGTTAATCAACTAAAACTAAAACCAAAGAAAGTCTGATAACAGTTCAAGAAGTGTTTTTTTCAGTATAATTTAGGGTGTTTAATCTTTTACTTGCCTAATTAACATAAGGTAAAGGGTCAGATGGACATAATCATACTACTGTTATGAACAGGGATTTGCTCAGTGGTGGGATTCAGCCAGTTCGCACTGGTTCAGCAGATTTTTGTTGAGTTCAGCGAACCGGCTGAAGACTTAGTCCTTTTTTGCAAGGCCCAGAATGGCTCACCGGAAGTGTGTGGATTCCGCTTCCGGAACTCTGTTCTGGGCCTCGGAGGCCCAGGCCCAGAACGGACTTCCGGAAGTGGCATCCACATAGAGAACCAGTTGTTCATGTATTTGAATCCCACCACTGGATTTGCTATTCTATTTCTTTTTGCTCTTTTTATAAGATGAGCTGTTTTTGTTTCTAAATTACATAATGCATACTTTAGCAATCATTTTCCTTAGTTCATGAGCATCTCACCCCTAAGTGATAGAAAATATAACACTGATGAAACACATCTATTTAGATCATTGCTAAATATACATTTATTTAATTTACAAAGGTAAAATTGCAGAAAATGAAATGTACGGTTACAATCCTTTTTTTATTAGAGATAGGTGATATTAGAAAAGAATGATGATTAGTGTCAAGCTACAGTATTACTTGTAGTACTTGGTTACTAACTTACAGTAGTACTTGGTTACTAACTTTGGATAGTCATTTAGCAACTATCCAAAGATATGACAGGTGCAGTCCCTCAGTCACATGATCACCATTACAGACAGTAAGCAGGTACACAATAGGAAATACACAACTAAAGCAGTATTTTTAGTTTCAAACCAGGAAGCACAGTCTTGGTCAATTTGCTTAGGCACTGATTTTGGGTCCCAGTTGTAGTTGCTAAACAAGGACTACCTGTGCTGACCAATTTTTAATTCCAAAATAAGTATATTCTTTACTAATCTGACATTGTATCACTATATGCAGGGTGGGTTTCTCAAACCTTTCTTTCTTTTCATCCATGTTCTTTCTTCAATTTAGTTCCTCTTGAGCCTTTCCATCACCAAAGAATTATTCAACTGGAAGATGCTTTCTCTCTGTAGATGAGTTTCAGCACAAAAGACAATAGAATCGGCTACTATGTAAATTGCACTTTACTCTTTAGGCATAGATTTTGCAGATATTGGAAATGAATCATATAATGGGGACATGAAAAAGAATTGAAGAGGACAAGTTCAATATGATACTAAGTTACTAACTGTTTCTGTTTTATTTAAAGATTTTATTTATTGACCACCTTGCGTATGTAATTCTCTGTCCTGTTACATATTCCATGACAGAGATACATCTGTCTTTTTCCAGGCCTCCTAATTATTAGAACATGTAGCTTTGCATTATGTTATCTTGATATTATCTCTGAGGATGAGTTTGGGCTTCCTCTTTTCATTTTTCTGTACCTAATAAGATTCCTGATTCATTTTTTAAGTATATTAATGTGTAATATGAGGAATATAGCCTGGCAAAAAAATAGTAAAACTTACAGACGCTAACCTTTTTTTCCAGCTGATTGTTTAGATCCAGTCTGTTCAAATCATGGTGTATGTATCCATGGAGAGTGTCATTGTAATCCAGGTTGGGGTGGTAACAACTGTGAAATACTGAAGACAATGTGTCCGGACCAATGCTCTGGCCATGGCACGTATCTGCAAGAAAGTGGCACTTGTAATTGTGATCCTAATTGGACTGGCCCTGATTGCTCTAATGGTAAGAATTTTGGGGAAATTATTTTGTGCTAATAATATTAAAAACTTCCAAGATTCTGCAGTGCTGATTTGATTAATTTATAAATTCCACTAAAGCCTACCATCAGTGTAAATATTAGCAAGACAAACAAGAAAGTTTTTATTTTCCATAAACACAGTTTCTTGTATCAGCAACTACAGTTAATTTATTTACAGTTTGCATTAATTGTTGTTAATTTTAACTTGTAACATATGATATGTAGTACCTCCATATCCATTTCAGATCCTCTGAAAATTGCTCTGGGTACAGCTGCCAAAATAGTATTGTATCAATGGCCAACCGTTTAAAATGTTTAGCTATTATAGTACTTTGTATCTATGCTAAATCATCAATAGCATCAGTTGATTTGATGTTATACTGTACACTTAAATGTTTTCATATTAAACTATCTTAATATAACCTACTCTCCCTGTCAGTGTCACCAACTAAAGTCAATGTGCGTGAACTGAACATGAAGAAAATTTGCTAGGTTCCCTTTCATGTGATAAAATTGGCAGAAATGCAAAGAAGAGTCTAGGGAACCTAATTCTATATATTTCAAAGACAACTTGAGCGATGTTCGGGCTTTCAGAAAATATATGGGAAGAGAGGAAATATGAATACATATTTTGACTCAGTGTTTTGTTTTGGGACGTTCTGCAAGAAAACAGTAAGCACAGAAGGCACCATATGATCTTGATCCAACTTTCCATGTATGTGTTCATCAGTTCCACATGATCAGATCACGTTCGTTCTATTGAAGGATCTATTATATCCTTTCCCTTTTTCATAGTGTCACAGATAAATATCAATTTTCCTTCCATTGATAGTTAATTTATGCTCTTTAAAATTTTATAATGACATTTCAAGTCAAAATTTTCCATATCCCATAGTCATTATCAGATGGGTCAGTAAGTACTGATCTCTGCCACATAACGTTACTTAGATTTATCAAGGATTTTGCATTCTTTAGAAAGATAAAAAGTAGTCATATCTTAGTCATATCCATTTCAATGCTGTTAACAGCATTCCCTGTTAACAATAAGGGCACAGTACCTGCTTGTTATGATGCATTTTTGCCCTAGTTTCATCCTAGGCATTCATAACTTGGAAACCAGCATACATTTATTCATATTTCATCAAGTGGGAAATTAAACTAATTTTGAAATTAATTGAAGGTTGCTAATAGCTTTTCAAAAATATTAAGAATTATATTTGAAATTATTTGCATCAATCAAATGAAGATATTTCAGTTTAGAATAATTGTTAATATTGCAAAGGAGAAAAGTATAAGCTATTTTGTTCCCTTTTCCTTAGTGGTTGTCCATTAATTAGCTGTCCAATTCCAGTTTTTCTAAATTAACCCTAATTAATAAGCTCATTACAAAGACTGGCACACCTTGCTTTAAAGCAGATCTGCTAAAAGCTGATAAACACCTTCTCTTTAATGAAAAATTGATTTATACTGAGGAGAAAAGGCAAGTCTTTGGAAAACGAGGATATTCAGAATTTAATCTATCCAAACATCTTATAACAACAAAAATGCAGTTCATAACATAAAACATGATAGGAGAAAAGCTTTGCAGGTCAATATTCATTCTGACACATATACTGTCAACATACTTAATTGTACATTTGATGTTCTATAGTACTTTGAAATAAAGTAGTCAAGGTGATCTTTTTCAGACTTTTACGTTTTTTACACCTCAATATCTATCACAAATAATTCCTTTTTAGGATTGGTGTTCTGGTTTTTAAAGAGGAAATTGTTCTAGGAGACTTCAACTGTGTCCTGTTATGTTATGTTAGATCGTATTTTTCATGGAAACAAAAGAAAAAGAAAAAAACAGACAGGTTTTTTTTACATTTTACATATAATTATATGTGCTTTATTGTTAAAGCAGTTAGTTGGATTTTCATGGATTTTCACAGTGAAATTTAAGTTAATCACCCCTACATAGCCTTCTCTTCTGTCCATTTAAGACATAAAACTGTGCTCAAAAGCAAATTTTCAAATAATAAACGTTTATCATAATATAAAGGTCATTAATATTATACAACTAAGACTTCATTGCTTGAAATGGTTCTATTGATCAGTAATTGTAATAAGGCCTAAAATAAATGGAACTTCAGCATACAAAAATGCCAAGAAAAATCACAACTTATAACTATAATCAAAAGAAAGGTTGCTGTATGAATATAACTTTCATGCCAATCTCAGATAACCACCCCTCATAGAAAAAAAATTCTTGCCACCTTGATACAGTACAGGATATTAGTGTTTTTTAAATGAAAAAGAAGATACATTTCTGAAACATTATTTTTCTACTCTGTATATTGCCTATACAAAGTCTTCATACTTAACATTTTTGAGATTATAAATACTATACATTTCTAAAAAAAATACAAACACTGCTGTTTTTAAAAATAACATGAGGGTCAGAAAACCCTGTATATCTTAAGAAAAATTACTATGTAGAATTTACCACAGATAGTGTTACTTAACTCTCAAAAGTGCTTGAGTTAATTGAATTTAAGCAAAAGGTAAATACATGTATGATTCTAAAATCTGATGAATTCACATTGTATGGTATTTAGTCAAATATTAACTCAACATTGTAGTGTTTTAACTTTTTACTGTTTTAAAAAACATATATTTGCATTATAATCCCTATTTTTCAGAACATGTGACACTATTTACTGAAAATAATCTACAAAAGACTTCTAAATTTATAGTGTATAATTTCAGGCTCTTCATAAGCAATATGTGATAAAAAATGGTCACTTATCGAAAGAAGTCTAAGCTAAGTGAAGAAATCAGTAGAGAGATACCACTAGATCTGCTGAATCAACTATTGGGAAATATAACTTCTGAATCACTTGAAATAAATTGCTTGATTTAATTTTCAAAGAGTTCATATAGCTGGATTTTGGAGCTTAACTAATTACTCTCCTCTTTTTCCTTCTGCTTTCTTCCTTCTCTTTTCATCTACCACGTTCTTTATTTCTGTCTCAGAAATCTGCTCTGTTGACTGCGGTGCTCACGGTGTCTGCATGGGTGGAACGTGTCGATGTGAAGAAGGTTGGGCTGGAGCATCTTGCAATCAAAGAGCATGCCATCCTCGGTGTGCTGAACATGGAACTTGTAAAGATGGAAAGTGTGAATGCAACCAAGGCTGGAATGGCGAGCACTGCACAATTGGTATGTTAACTGAGAATTTTCGTATTGAACATAAAAAGTATGAGTCTCTCTGAAATTGAATACTGTTTATTGAAGCTTATTTCTGCAAAATAATACTTTCACTTACATCTTTGTAAGGAAATATGCTTTTTAAAAAGAAAAAAGAAAGCACGTATATAATGTAAATAGCCTTTGTAAATAGCTTGTCCCAGATACAGTGAGGGGGAAAAGTATTTGATCCCCTGCTGATTTTATATGTTTGCCCACTGACAAAGAAATAATCAGTCTATAATTTTAATGGTAAGTTTATTTTAACAGTGAGAGACAGAATAACAGCAAAAAAAATCCAGAAAAACGCATTTCAAAAAAGTTATAAATTGATTTTTTCCCTCATTGTAGGAAGAGCAAGAATTTCATTTCACATTTTCTAAATTTTCTGTTTAGATTCAGAAGATAATATCAGAACATTTGTTTTTACTGCTTGCACTCTTCAATCTCTAGCTAAATGAGTTAATTTTCACTGGCTTTTTTATTTTTAGCCAGTAATAGAATACCTAATAATGTTATAAAAAGAAAAGGAAAACAAAAAAATACTATATATAAGGAAATATGAAACTTAGCTGCAAAATAGCCTAGCAGTCTGACATTTTTTGTTATATTTTGTTTGCTAACATAATGAATTATGTAGGATTTACACATAGCTTTCTATTTCAGTACTGAAAAATTGAAAATGTGCTGACTTGCAGCACTTTCATTTGTAGTTTTTTTTTAGGAGTAGATATCCTGTGTTTTACATCCTAATATAAAAGAAAGTTGTCTTTGATTAGTAACAGAATATAAAAAGTACTCTTCCCTAGAATTCATTTAATATTCCTTTTTAAAAGCTAGTCCGTGCCTAAATAAAACTTTGATCTCTGATCTCAGTCATTTACCATCATACAGTATAAAACATCAGTGAAAAAATACCACAGTGATTCTTCACATTTTCTTCATATGTCTTTCTCTTATAAAACTATGTGACATAGATTATAATTTATCAGTTACAAATTAGATTTTATTTCTGTTGGCCTCACTAATCTTGGCAGCACACTGCTGGTTTATAGTTGTTTAATGGATTTTCTGTTCTTGTACATTTTTTTCCAATGCATTTGACAGAACACACTCTAAAAGTAGCCTTATGATTTTAATCTATTTAATCCACGTGCTTGTAATTATTGCACTGCTGCTTCTTCAACACAACAACAAATGTTTTGGATAATAAAACAATTGTTATAATGTTGTAAATATCACAGTAGCTTGGTTGGGCTTCTGTTATTTGCACAAATTGCCTAGTATGGCAATAATATATGATTTTCAAGTACAACTTCATTTCTATAAGCTTATAATTCCAACATTATATCAAAATCAGTTAATTAATTGTGGGTTATAAATTCTGCAAAATGCAGAGATATTCACACAAAATATATTATCATGTTTTGCATATATCAGAGAGCTAATTTTATTTTTAAAAATACATGTTTTGTGATTTAATATCATCAGTGCAACTGTGCTGCTGTGTATATATTGGTAGCAACCACAAAATAAAGAATTGATAGAAAAGTAGAGACAGAATCAATTGGATACAAAATGTATCTTCTAATTTTTTTTCCTGGATCATGGATTGCATTTCCTATGCAAAGGACTCTTGGCAAGGGATGGGCTGCACCTCACAAAAACAGGGGAAAATGTACTCGGAAAAAGACTGGCCCAACTCATCAGGAGAACTTTAAACTGAATTTGAGGGGGAAGGGTCACCAATGTTTAGAATCTCTAGATCATAAATCCCAAGAAAACAAATCAAACAATGAGATAGGCAGAGACAAGAAAAAAGAAAAACCCAAACAACAGTCAGGAGATGCAGAAACACAAACAGGCATAAAAGTCTTAAATGCTTATATACAAATGCTCAAAGCTTGGGGAACAAACAGGACGAACTAGAAGCAATAGTACACGAGGGAGGGTATGACATACATGGCATTACAGAAACCTGGTAGGACAAAACTCATGAATGGAATGGACTGATGGATGGATATAAATTGTTCAAAAGAAACAGGTCTTCAAAAAGAGGAAGGGGAGTTGCACTATATGTAAGAGAACATTACATATCTACAGAAATGCACGATCCAAGATAAAATCTCTCCAGAATACATACGGGTCAATATAAAAGAGGAAAAAAAGTGACATTATCATAGGTGTACATTACAGGCCACTTAACCAATCAGAAGAAATAGATGAACTCTTTGCCAACCAGTTAACAAATGTATGCAGGAAGCATACCACAGGAGTAGACTTCAACTATCCAGTTATCAACTGGGAAACAAACTGCAGCGAGCGGAAGTTCAAACAGATTCCTAACCAACCTAGCTAACAACTCTGTCATCCAAAAGGTGGAGGAGGAAACTAGACGTAAAGCCATATTGGACTTAATTCTAACTAATAGAGAAGAGGTGATAGAGGAAGTTTAAGTTGCCAGAACTTTGGGCAAAAGTGACCATGTCATACTGGAATTTAATATAATACAAACACTAGCAACAGAAAACAATCCAACCAGTGTCTTGAACTTCAAAAGAGCTGACTTTAACAAACTCAGAGAGAACCTAGGAAAGATCACATGGATGAAAATCCTAAAGGGGAAAACAACCCAAGAAGCCTGGGAAACTCTGAAAAATGTGATCATAAAAGCCCAGACCAGCACAATACCACTGAAAAAGAAAAACAAGAAATTCAAGAAGAAACCAGCATGGCTGCACAAAGATCTCTCTGACAAACTGAAAGACAAAAAGGACAAATACAAAAAATGGAAAGAGGGGCGCATAACTAAGGCTGTATCAGCAGACACCAGAACATGCAAAGATGAAGTCAGGAAAGCAAAGGCTCAGAACGAACAAAAACTTGCAACAGAAATTATGGATAATAAAAAAAAGTTTCTTCCAACATATTAACAAGAAAAAAGCCAAGGAAACTGTAGGTCCACTAATGAGAGAATAAGGCAAGGAAATAATAGGCAATAGGGACAAAGCAGAGCTGCTTAACTCATTCTTTGCATCAGTCTTCACACAAAAAGAAACTATAGCCCAACATACCAAAAAAAAAAAAAACCACTGCAAAAGACAAATTGGAAACAAAAAATAAGCCAGAAAATGGTAAGAGAACATCTTTTTGATCTTGTTTTCAAACAAGTGTTATTATTTTTTCAATTTTACATCCAAATGCTTAAGAAGCGGCATAGTGATTGGGTAATCAATAGTCCAGTTACAAAATCTTTCATACATATTTCAGATTGCATGATTAAAAGTTCCCTCCCTATTTCCCTTAATTATTACATCACATTCAAGTTAATACATTTGTAATTATAGCTCAATCAATCAATACATTTGTCAATATAATTTTACTTATACATATCCAAGTCCTGTTTTTTTAAGTTTTACCTAATTTCAATTACAATGTTTTAATTTAGCCTTTAATGTCCATAATATTTAGACTTCGGGTAACCCAAATTTTCCTTATTTCATTACAAAATTGTTATCATATCTAAAATACACATATTATTCAGTTAATTACATTCTTACTTTATTTCACAAGTATATTCTATTTCTCATCCTAGTACCTCATCATTTACTAATAAAATATATTTTACTGTCACAAATCAACTTCCGTATTGCAATTCAAAACTATAATATAATGACTAATTTTCATTTCCCTTATAAATCTAAGTCCTAAATATTAAATCAATCAATATTTTTAAAGATCTCCTTGGCCCATTAAGTAAGATTTTAAGCTCTTCCATTATTAGTCAACAAAAAAAAGAAAAAAAGAAGAGAAAGAAAATCCCATTTTTAAAATCTAACTCTAGCTTTCTTTTTGTGCCAAGGAGGCTTCCATACCAGTGCCTTTAAATCCTCAGATGGATCTCCCTTCATTCCTATAAATGTTATTTGAATCAAGGGAGAGCATCCAGTTATCAATTTTTCAAAAGAACTGGCCCCTTTTTGATCATTAGGTTGTTGCCCTAATAGTTCAAATCTCCATGTTTGATTTAAAATATTTATCATCAGTTTGGTCTGGTCTTCTTCTTCCAGTTTCATTTGGCTAAAATAAAAGATCATGTCTGGTGTTGTAGTTGTTGTTTGATTGTCTAGATTATCTAGGTTCTCAATATGTTGTGTTTGTTGCTTTTTAGTACCCTCCATCTTAGTGTTGCTTTCTTCAGTTTTGAGTTGCAGGTTCTTTAATTGAATTCAATGTTTGACTGTCAAAGTTCTCTGTAAATTGTACTTGTTGTGTAGAATCCTCTTTGATATTAATTTGTTCCTCTTCTGTTGTTTTTTGGATTGTAAGTTCATCAGTTGAAGTCTGGGCTTCAATTTGTAATTTTAAGATGACATCTTTGTCTTTCACTCTGGAATTCATTAGCTCAGTGGCTCCAAGGATTTTTTCAAGTATGAGTTTGTAGTTAAGTTGTGGGTAGAATTCCTCCATTTCTGTGGTGATTAAAGATAGTCCTTTAGTGGAGGCTACGTTTAATAAAAGTCAGCAGATGTCCACCTCTACTATTCCTAGAAGTTGTTTTCACTACCCAGCTGTTTAAATTCTTATCTTTTTTAGATAGTTCGAAGGACAAATCTAGGGAGTAAGCAAGCCTCACAGTGAAAGAAATTCACTTGCTGTACCAGGCTTTGCCACAAGATGTCCCCGATAGCATATAAAATCTTTTTCCAGACATGAATTAGGCTTTTATCCAGTTTAATTTTTTTTCCCAACTTAACAAATAGATAAGGTAATAGGTCCCTATAACAATATGAACTTTTTGGGACCCCCAAATATCCAAAAAGTACACGTCCAGTTATTTAGTTGTTTAGATTAGTTGTTCTTTTCTTTTCTTTTCAAAGCTATATTTTCCCAAGGTAGGCAGACGCCGCTATGTTAAAAGCAGGGGAAAAAATTCAGAAGGCTTTACAGGAAGATATTTGGGATACAAGAAA